CTGTGTTCTGATAATGGCCCCAAAACCTGCCTCTTTTTGTGATGAAACCACAGTACCATCTATGTTGCATGTCCATTATGACAATACTTGTGCAAATCCAGGAGTCATTTCAGGAACCCGGGGGATATCCCCACCCAGTCCTTGCTGCTGGACATCTTGAGCTTGCCTCCATTCTAAGAAAAACCTCTTTATGAGATATATTAATGTCTGATGATCGTATACTCTCCCATTCCAAAGTAAATCATTTCTTTCAAACCAAATTCTCCATAGACAACAGAAAATCGGCCAACTCCTCCTGTTTTGTAATTTTACAGATATATGCTACCCAGTGGACAATGTTCTGATTTACAGCATGCAGATAAGAAATGCCCATTATTTTCCAACACATAGCAGCCTTGCCATAATAAAAAAAAAAACGTGGTATAGAGTCTCAAGTCTATCACATTGGGGACATTTTGCTGATATATCCATCCCTCTATTTTATAGTAGAATATTCTGCTTCATTCGCTTGGAAGAAAAAAAAAAAAGTCATTAGCAAACAAAAGATGAGAAATAGGAGGGCTATTATGACAAATAGGAATGCCATGAATTGCACTAATGGTTTCTTCCTGTTTAAAAAGGCAAGATAGGCCTTCAAAGCATAGAATGAAGAGGTATGGTGAGAAAGGGTCCCCCTGTCTCAACCTTCGATGTGGAATAACATATGCAATCTCATTTTCATTTAACTTAATCATGTAAGCAAACAATTAGACATATTACATCATCAATTGCATCCATTGCCTATAAAATCCAAGTTTAGAGAGCACTGCTTTAAGGAATTCCTATTTCACTCTATCATATACGTGCTTATATCCACTTTGATGGTCATCTCAGAACACCTCCTCATACCTAAGCCTTTCATCTTATGGATTGTTTCAAAAGCCACTAAGATATTATCAGTTATACACCTCCCAAACACAAAAGGCCGATTATTCTTCAATAATGATACGCGTAGAATCGCTAGAATTTTAAAATAAATCTTGTAGAGAACATTACACAGAGAAATCGGTCAAAGGTCTCTAACAGATTATGGACAATCCTTCTTTAGAATAAGCACAATCGTAGTTCTGTTCAATGATGACGGAAACTCATTTAGAGCAAGCAGGATTGACATTACTGAACAACATCATTACTAACAATATTCGAGAATTTTTGGAAGAAAGCTGAATTCATCCCATCTAGTCCTGGAGCTTTATCTAGATGCATTTGAAAAGCTGCCCATTTGATCTCCTCTGCACTCAACGGTTGTAACAATCTATCATTGTCCAAATTAGATACTTTGGGAGACATCGTCTCTATAACTCGATTTCAATCTCTAACAGAAGGGGAAAACAACCCTTAAAAAACCTCAAGTATATGGGTCTACATGCCTGATTTTTCTCGAATCCACTCGTCAGTCATATCTTTGAGGACAGTAATAGAATTTTGACGCCGTTGTTTAGATGCTTGTCTATTAAAAAATCTTGAATTTCTATCTCTTTGGGATAACCAATGAGACTTAGCTCTCTGTCTCCACTAACACTCCTCCTGTTCCAATAGCTATATATATGTTTCATTAATTTTATCAAGGTGGTCGGTAGGATGATAGGACTGAAGTTTACATTCTCGAACTAACCTGTCATACAACTGCCTTTCCTGCTACCAAAATTGCCAACCAAAGAGAAACCCCAAGCC